GTGGTGATTTGCAATAAAGTACAGGTTATGGCTAGGTTTAGGACTGTGTTTGTGTACAATGTTTAGATTATGGCTAAATCTGGGAGTGGGTCCTTTACCTGTGACTAATGTGAAGGTTATATCCAGGCCTTGGGTTAAAACTGAATAAAATTAATGTTCATGTTATGGCCGAATCTGGGGGATAGTTCTAAGTTTAGCAGCAATGGTGTGATTTTTAGATAAGTGTTTGTACTATTCTTAAACGTGAGCATTGTGCCGGGTTGTCACTCGTTCTAATTAAGCGTAGCCGCTGTGGTTTTTACTCGCACAGCATTGGCGGCAACAGGCCCCTGACGGCGCGGGTCTTCCCACGGCAACCCCTCATTTATTATGTGAGCTGTGCGCGTGCCGCAGATTTCTCTCAGAAAGGCAAACGACAGAGAACGCCACACGGTGAATTTCCACGGTGAATTTCCGCACCCTATTGTGGCGTTTATTTTGAAACCACCCCACCCCCCGTGCCGCATTTATTAGGTCTCCTGGTAAATGAAGAAATTCATGGGTCTCAGTTGGGATCTTACCTGGTTATTAAGGTCATCTATCTATCTTACTCCTGCCGTCATGATCATAATGATTATTATTTATTATGCATGTAATTATTAATCGCTCAAAAAGTATTATTACATTCTCATGTTGATGATGATACACGCATTTATCACTCGAGTCGATTTATGCAAACAATACGCGCATCATATGCCTAGCATTGAATTTAGGTTCATTAAGAGCAGCTGGTGTGACTACAAATGAGACGGAACAAATGGGTGTGAATGAGTCGGTTAAAAGGAGGCCAGAAAGATGTTTCTTGAATTGGAATTGCAGCCCCAAATGGTGACATTTCATCAGATCGCACGGGAGAAATCGTAACGTGTCCTTTATTCATTATAGCCAGATTGAATGTTTATCACGAGTGTGATCTTGCCTTCTCTAAACTTGGTAAAATGTTGAAACTGTCAGTCAGGCAGGGTCTTTTATTTAACAAGGATAATATGAAATACGTATGTATGTTGAACTTCTTTCACACCGTACGTAGCCATCCGTGCTAATCGGATGTGTGAAATAAACCCATTGAGATGAATGACACGTGGCCCCGTTTGCAAGGGCGACCTGGGTTGCATCAAGCTTGTTTCATTTGTAGTGTATTCCTGCTCCGAATTTTAAGCACGTAAATACGTATGACAATTATATTAACCTGTGTTCTTAGAGTTATTTATCCACTTGCGCAATAAATCCATACCAGAAATGCTACATTTTGACATTTCCCGCAAATATAAGTTCGTGTGGTACCATAGTGCGCGCATTGAAAGCCAACCACTTGACGAGAGCTAATGATTCTTCGCAGGCTCGCACCTTGCCAGACGCGGGGTTAATAGATTCACACCTTGTCTTTAAGTGGTGCGATGATTGCACGAGGCGTCGCGTCACGTGCCCGGGCCGCACGTAGCCTGGACACGGTACAAATTATCGCTGCCGGGTGACGTAAAGTCGGTGACCCCCCGGCGTTGGTCGCAAGCGATCGAGTGACTGACAGATGTGCAGGTCAAGCGTGCTCGAGAGGGTTGAGAAGATGTCAGTTGTCCCATGAGTGGGAGGTGGTCTGGTTGTGTCAGAGGTCAGAGTATTGAGCTGGCATTGCTGAAGATACTGGGTTTCAATCTGCACAGCCACCCGTGATTACTGATGGTCTCGGCATGCTCACCAATGGATGCTCAAAGAAAACCCTAGTATTAAATTCAATATTTGAGGTTAGTTTGGTTACATTCCAGCTCTGATAATAAAAATATCGGTTTTGACTCTCATGCGACAAAACATTACTTTGTAGCAGGGCGGGTAGAGAAAGTGTTACCCTCTCATATCGAGGGAAATTTCAAGAACAGCTTTGTGATATCTTGACTCGCTGCTCTGCAGGACTTCTGAATCGATTATTAGTCTCATGACGTGTCACCGTCTCGTGACGTGTTACCGATAGCACGATTTTGATAAAATTGGGGGAAACGACAACCATTTTACAAAATAAATATCCGTGTTTAGGTGGATGGGCTGGTGAGCACCTGTATGATTCCTTGGCTACTGGCCGTCAGCTCGCCGATGATAGGGTCGTTGTGTTTAAGCTATGAGCAGATGTGCCTTTCTGGAGGGTCCTGCTTGGGATGTCTGGAGCGCCCGAGAAAACCCCATGCAACCTTGGAAATGCCACTTAAAACACCACAAGATCGACTGTATTTGCCAATATGCCTCGACTTTTGGTCTTCCACTACATCTTTCTTCGCTCCTTGCATCCTGCACTACTGCTCGCGGCAGAACTCTCCGCAGAGCGACTCACAACCTCCTCTCTACACCAAGGAGCAGGACCGTCATTGCCAGCGTCATTGCTCCGTGAAAGCGGCCCCCGCCATCTGGAACACGGCCATCATCATCATCATCGTCCCGCTGCTGCTCATTCACAGCAGCAGCAGCGTTCAATCCACACCTCCTTTAAGAGACACTTGAAGGCCCCAGCCTCTCTCTCGCCTGACTTTAGAACGATGCTGAGCTTGGCTCTTCGCCTCAGTCACGGTCATTTATGTCTGTGAAATATTGCGCGTGTTATAAATTACATTATTAACATTATAGATCGGTCACTCTTGCAAATGGGACTCTCCTGGTCTCACGAGTTCTCACCTCGTTAAACAAATAGACCCAGCGCTCCAGGTAGGTCATTAAACTGCTTGCTGTCACCTAGGAGTGGACCACTCAGCTCAGCGCAGGAGGGGCACTTCACTGCTGTGTGGTGTGCACATGTCCTTTGTTGTGCTGACATTCCAAAGCGATATAGGGCACTGGAGGGAAACACAATTAGTATCATCGGAGTGATGATAATAATGTATACATTTGCCCTGGAAAGTCTCGTAGAGCCTTCACGTTCTTGGGATGGGTGGCCAATTTTATTTATTGTCATCTGTCCCAGTTTTATTCTAAGCCAATATTCTATTGAGTGTTTTAGCAGACCTTGACATTGGCATTTAGCTCCTGAACATTTTTCCATATGCAAGAAAATAATTAAATTGAGGATTTTTGAGAACACACTATCCACTTAGCTGAAATAATCTATTTACTGTGTTGCCTCTAAGACACACCTAGCTTCCCTGCATGTGGCATGTCACACAGATGGTAGCTTGATTTCATGTGATCAAACAGCCTTTCTTCGACTTTGCTTTATTTTGATAATTAAAATCTGTAACATGACAAGAAAACCCATCACAACAGAGACAGTGTAGGCTGTAATCTAAGTTGATTGAACAGCACACACACAGGTGTGCATTGCATATCCAGAAGCTCCTCAGGCTTATGTGTAGACTGTAGAGCATTCTTGTCAGTTAGCCATTCTTGTCCATGCCTGTCTGGCTTTTGGCTGTGGGTTTTGTGGTTAATTGTCTAATACTGTAAAATAACCACATTTTAAATTGTACTAAATTTTTTTGTTACTTTACCAGGTAAGGCCCACTGAGCTATACAGCTCTTTTTCAAAAGTGACCTGGCCACAAATGATAGCTCAACGAAGTGGCTTCACATGTGGGAAATTATATGTCAGCCAAATACCCTAAACCAGCAGTCCCCAACCTTTTTGGCACCAGGGACCGGTTTCATGGAAGACAATTTTTTCACGGACCGGGGGCCTTTCCCCCTTTTCAAAGAAGCTCTCCAGCGACGTTTGTTTTTTACTCATTGTGGCTACTAGGGGTTAGCTTGTGGGCTTACCAACACTGTGACTGAGACAAATGCGCAGTGTGGGAAAGAGGCGCGGACGGATGTGGTAAATAATAAAATAATGGGCGGGCCACGCGGGGACTCACCACTCACCTCCTGCTGTGCGGCGCGGTTCCTAACAGGATCGGTACTTGTCCGCGGCCCGGGGGTTGGGGACCCCTGCCCTGAATGCGTGTTGATTCTAAATGTGGAAGTAAAACACTCGAGGTCCCGGAGAAAAATCCACGCAACCACGGGGAGAACACGCAAACTCCAAAGATACGGGCGTGAAGGTTGGGATGAAACCCGCGAGCTCCTGTATACCTCGCGAGATAGTTGACATCTCGACATCGTGACGCCACGGTGGCGAGATGTGCAACTGGCTCTATGTAACACTTGCTCGCCTTTTAGCCATCGTCATTGTGTCTGTCACTGCGTTGACAACATAACAAACATTGCTCCAATCTGCCCATATGTAGATTTTTGCAGTTTGAAGAGAAAACCAAAATCGCGTTTTTTAACTCCTGCTGATCTCAACTTCCTGCTCTTCTGCATTCCTTTGCGCTAAGATCACTTAATTCCCAGGAGCCTTCGCTGCTTAGCTGTTACGAAAAATGCATATTAAAAAAGAGGTTTAAATTAATAGATTGAACATTTTTCACGTGACGAAACATTTTGATGCCATGAAAGGAGCGTTTACGGTTCGCCAGATGAGGGTGGATGGAAAGCCGTCGCCTTGGCAGGAACTTTCGCAAGATCACACTGCTGCACCTCTGTGTGCGTGAGTGGCTTCGTGCCTGGACAATAACAACGTTTCCATTGCAAACAAAAAAATATGTTCGTGCAAAGAGGCCTTTTTCGCATTTTTTTTCATTACAAAGCCTTCTGCCAGCTGGGTTAACTTCACAGTAAAACAAGAACGACAAGGAAAAAAGACACATGCAAGCGTAACAAACAAAAAATGTCCGTCGAGATCAAGTATGTTAATTTATGCGCTCGGCATGTGTTTGATCTTTTGGAAAACAATGTGGTCAGAATGTTTTCACGTAGGCGTACGCTGCAGCCCACACCTGGGAGCCATGCCTATTGCCCTCATTCGCCAAGCTCATTGCTAGTTGACATTGACTTTAGAAACTGCTCTCCAGCTAGAGGACCTCTGCAGCCGTCCGTGACTTCGCCGTTTTGTTCCACGTTGCGTGGCCGCACTGTAAGCCAGGTGCTCTTTCCGTGTCTTTCAGGTTGGCCAGGTCGCCCTCGTAAGCCGTGACACCAGGACGACTTCCTCTTCACAGAAGAGAATGAACTCTGCTTCATAAAACCCTCGGCAGCTCCACCCTTGCCTCTTCGCACCGCCTTCTGAAAATGGACCACATGAAGGCGCATCCTGCTAAATCATAAAACAAATCTAGGGTCCGCTCAGTGACGCGTGGTGGATTCGGCGTCGACTCTAGATCGACACGGCGTTTTTTAAAAATATTATTTTAAGTACGGCCTCTTGCTGCCCACGAGCTGGTTTTAAATATAATTTTGAGTGCGGCACGCCCCGTGACGCTGCTGAGCATTCACGTTCTGCGCGGGGGCCCCTTCCCACCGCCGCACCCCTGCGTTCCACTCAGACTCAGCCTGCGAGCCGCCGCTGAGCCTGCCCTGTCCCGCGCAGAGCCATGCTTCCATTGGTGCTGGTGGTGGTCTGTACGTGCTGGCTGCTGGCAGCGGTCGCGCCTGCCGACACGAGCCTGCACAGGTAAGAAGCGCACGCACATGCCAGTGTTGGTACCGGGTATTTTGCGTTTTGTGTCCGTGAAAGTTCGTTTAGCATCACGCGTTTCAGCAATGGCTGAAGTAAGTGGCGAGTGATGGAGAGTCTTGAGACCCGATGAGGATTCTTTGGGTCAATTTACACTATGACAGCGTGCCAACTTTTCAGTCAATGGCCCTGTTTAAGACAAGCCTATGGGATCCTATCAGTCTGATACAATAGACAGCTTCACAGGTGGTATAGTTTTAAGAAATTACGTAAGCTCTACCATGAAGAAGGGCTAATATATTCAAACATTTGCGTCATGTTTATTTTGCAGTCAGAAAGGAGTGTTAATTGATGACGGTAGTGAGTTATATTGATTTGTATTTGCACACCGCTGCCAGCGTGCGGTCCATTTACAATTTTTGGACAGAGGCACCAGTTGCTAGTTAGACAGTGGTGGTGGAAGGCTGTACGTGGATAATAATTTACAGACCTTGAGGGTTCAAATATTGGTTTTGTCCAGCGTGATATATGCCCGCTGGGCTTGAGTGACACGTGTGTTTCAATAAATTCTAACGTCGTTGGTTTGGTGTTTCCGATGAAATCTCACTCCCGCTGGTCTCATGAAATCTCACTCTGACTGGTTTGGTGTGTTTCTCATGAAATCTCACTCTGACTGGTTTGGTGTGTTTCTCATGAAATCTCACTCCCACTGGTTTGGTGTGTTTCTCATGAAATCTCACTCCCACTGGTTTGGTGTGTTTACCATGAAATCTCACTCCCGCTGGTTTGGTGTGTTTACCATGAAATCTCACTCTGACTGGTTTGGTGTGTTTCTCATGAAATCTCACTCCCACTGGTTTGGTGTGTTTCTCATGAAATCTCACTCCCACTGGTTTGGTGTGTTTTCCATGAAATCTCACTCTGACTGGTTTGGTGTGTTTACCATGAAATCTCACTCCCACTGGTTTGGTGTGTTTCCCATGAAATCTCACTCTGACTGGTTTGGTGTGTTTACCATGAAATCTCACTCCCACTGGTTTGGTGTGTTTCCCATGAAATCTCACTCCCACTGGTTTGGTGTGTTTCCCATGAAATCTCACTCCCACTGGTTTGGTGTGTTTCCCATGAAATCTCACTCTGACTGGTTTGGTGTGTTTCTCATGAAATCTCACTCCCACTGGTTTGGTGTGTTTACCATGAAATCTCACTCTGACTGGTTTGGTGTGTTTACCATGAAATCTCACTCCCGCTGGTTTGGTGTGTTTCTCATGAAATCTCACTCTGACTGGTTTGGTGTGTTTACCATGAAATCTCACTCCCGCTGGTTTGGTGTGTTTACCATGAAATCTCACTCCCACTGGTTTGGTGTGTTTACCATGAAATCTCACTCACACTGGTTAGGTGTGTTTCCCATGAAATCTCACTCACACTGGTTTGGTGTGTTTCCCATGAAATCTCACTCTGACTGGTTTGGTGTGTTTCTCATGAAATCTCACTCCCACTGGTTTGGTGTGTTTACCATGAAATCTCACTCTGACTGGTTTGGTGTATTTACCATGAAATCTCACTCCCACTGGTTTGGTGTGTTTCCCATGAAATCTTACTCCCACTGGTTTGGTGTGTTTCCCATGAAATCTCACTCTCTCTGGTTTGGTGTGTTTCTCATGAAATCTCACTCACACTGGTTTGGTGTGTTTCTCATGAAATCTCACTCTGACTGGATTGGTGTGTTTCTCATGAAATCTCACTCTGACTGGTTTGGTGTGTTTACCATGAAATCTCACTCACACTGGTTTGGTGTGTTTCTCATGAAATCTCACTCTGACTGGTTTGGTGTGTTTCCCATGAAATCTCACTCCCTCTGGTTTGGTGTGTTTCTCATGAAATCTCACTCTGACTGGTTTGGTGTGTTTCCCATGAAATCTCACTCTGACTGGTTTGGTGTGTTTCTCATGAAATCTCACTCCAGCTGGTTTGAACCTCCTTTTTGCTTCACCAAAACAACCGTCCTGAACCTTTAACTTGCATACGCGACTTAGACCTTGATTTCTGCAACAGTTTAAATTACAATCGTAAACTGCCGGAGTTAAATGCGTCGGTTTTATTTTCATTTTGCGCTTGTGCACTTCTACACAACACATAAATCGATTACTTAATTTTATTATTATTGTTCACAGCAGATACATAACTTAATTTACGACGAAGGGCCATTGTCTGAAATGTCGCCTATTACATTTTTTTCCTTTTAAGGCCACAGTGTTTTTGACGTGTTGAGTTTTCTCTCAATCATGCTTTTGCACCACTGCCAAAGCAGCTTCACGACGTAATTTATCTTTTGTGAAGGTTCCTCTAAATTCTGAGACATTCTTGAAAGTACAATAGCAGTCGCAGACCTTGATTTCTGGTTTTAAGTCTGATCTGAATTCATGGGCTCTCGGTGAGAATATTTTTATTTTAATACAATTCTGTTTTGTGTACTGATGAATGTGCTATTGTTTTTAATGAATGATGGCATGTTGTACCTTTCATGGACATACCGTGAAGGATGTTACGGTGTATGTGTACTCGGCATATGTAATGATTAATTGCCCACACCTTCTATCACTGACACGGTTTGTTGAATTGGTACCCATTTTGGGATCCGATTCCATTCAAGTTAATGAATATTTTCATCTCGTCCGTGCTGTTTTGTGGAGTCTCCTTTGCTCCACTGGCCTGAATGTAACATTCAACTCTTACATGCACAATTCACTGCATACGTGTGTCCTGGGCATAATAGTGACTGAAATTGAAGAATCGATGAGTCGCCCGGTGCCTATTGTGTCATATTGGATTGTGCATTGTTGGACGCCTTATCGTTGTGGAAACGGCTTGTTGTGATTGTTAGCAGGCGTCGAGTGGGCGGTGCAGGAGTCGACTCCAAGTGCTCCGTGACTGCTGACGCCCAGGACGCGGGCGACGCGACGGAGTTCACCTACGACGTGCAGATGCCGGCCGTCCGTCCCCAAAAGGTGGCCCGACCCGTCGTGCGTCCCCCGTCGGGGAAGAAAAGTGCACGCACGTTGACTCTCGTACGCGTTCCCGGTCCACGCCCGGCTTGTAAAGCCCGGCTGAGGGAGCATTGTTCTGACGGCGTTAATAAGTACGCTATAAATCGGTCGGCGCGCGGTTTTTATTTAACCGGGTGAGGCCCCATTTTGATTCGGTGTCTCTTATAAACGGGTCTTTTGAATAGCCTGCTTCAATGTAAAACTGTCTCAACCCATCTCTACCGACCGATGCGTGCACACTCCCCCTCTTTCACAGCCCCCACCATTACCCACTCACACTGTCTTACTCGAATCTGCTTACTTTAGCCCAGAGTTGCCAAGTCTTCTGGTAAAACACAAAAAATGTCAATGCCTTTAGAGAGAAGCCCAAAACAGGAAGGGGTGGGGTCTGAAGAGGAAGGGGCAGGGCCTAAAGAGGAGGGGAGGCAGGGAAAACAAAACCCAAATCTTCAACTGGAGATTCCCTTCAACCGTGAGCTTTCCTGTTGATTTCAGGAAATGAAAACACGGAGTAAAAACAAGCAAAAAGATAATGCCGCAGATGCGGCCACAGGCCAGCTCGTAGATTTTAAATACCTGCATGAGTGTCATTGCATGTTTGCTAAGTATTTGTCTACAGTAGTCCCTCGGTTAACGTTTAAAATCCATTCCACGAAAAGTACTGTGAACCGAAATAACAGTTAATTGAATATAGGAATAACATGTTAAAAGCATGAATGCGTTCCACTTACGAGCGCTCGGATTGGCCGACATTGGCGCCCGCATGTATAACGTAAACATACCGTTAATCAACATTTAACATTAGTTGAAATCACGAGAGTCCTATGGGAGACGAAACGCTCACTGATAAACCGTTAACCGATGTCACTGTTCTAGATGTCAAGGGGTGCCTTTGCGGATGTGTATGCTTTAATATAGCCAGTTCTGTGACCAGTCACAAGCTAATCACTCAGCCATTTCAATGCTAAATTATATGCTAATTCCTTTGTCAAGGCGCTTTGTTTCTTCTCACACAGCTTAAAGGTCGTGATCTGAGCGTGGCTTTTTTCACTCCAGCGCTGTCCTCCAGACAGTCTCGTCCCTTCACCTGATGAAGGCCGCTTGTGTTGTGGCCGAAACGTCGTGATTTTTGTTATTTTATTTTTTACCTACGTGACTTTACCCAATAGAACCAAAGAGGATGTCACTGTTAACCGAGGGACCACTGTATTGATAACCCTGCACATCCTCACAAATGAGATGTTCCATCTCCCAAAGGATTATGCAGTTAAAATATTTAAATAAATCCCAGCCTCAAACTAGCTTAGCTTCTGGGATGTGTTGGTATCGGGCACATGTCCTGGTGATTAGGTTATATAGGCCAAGGTTGAATTGTGACGTAAAAATAGTTTGTTTTTACTTCAGTTGAAAAAAAAGTTTCAAAATGTGTTATGTTGGCATGATGCCAGACTGTGAATGTATTGCCTTCTGTGTAATATTAGAAGTTATATCCTTAACGTTTCCAACAAGCCATGACAAATTTTTCTTTGGGTTTTCGTATTTACTTGTGATTGTAATTTTTGCTTACAAGTCCAACTTCCGCGCTGCAGTTCAGCACTTGAGAGGGAGTACATGAGCTGATAAATAGCAAACTGGATGATTGGTGAAACAAATATTTGAAGTAATATATTATTTTGCAAGAAGAAACATATTTTTGGTGTTGTATTTTTTAATACGGGTATTTCTAAATGTTCCTTGAGAATAGTAGACTTTGTAATTTAACGATCCTTAAAGTGCGCTCAACTCAACACATTTGTCAATAACACTGGCATTAAGAGGAACTATATATCATAGGCAACGTTTCAGGCAATAACCCTTCTTCACATGTGTATATAGGCCCCGTGGTGTAAAGTGCAGTCTCCACCTCTCTCTGGCTTGCCTATTTACGTGCTATGGCCAAGGATGGCTGTTGCCGAAAACTTTGCTGATTATGTATTTTTCCTTTCAAGGCGTCTGGTGTTATTGACGAATGCGAGAAGTTAAGTGTCCTTGTGCACCACTGCCAGTCCGGTAGCAGCAGCTTCACCAAATAATTTGTTCAGGGTCACTGTGTGGAGGCTATTCCTTTCTCCTTTGCCACGAACTAACTTCAAAACCCATGAACTCTACATTGTCTCTTAACGAGCGGCATACTGCAGTTTACCACCTGACCCACTCAGCTTCTGTGAGACAGCATGGGCGGTCCCGGATGCGTTGATGAGACCGTGTTTCTCTTGTGCCGTGCGCTGCATGGCGTGCGTGTGTGTGTCTTGCAGCAAGATGCCTACCTTTGCACCATGGTGTCTGTGCCTTCCCCTCGGACCATGTACATCGGTGAGCCTATGTCACGCCACGGTCGCGCGCATCGGTCAGCGGGTGTTGCATGGTCACGTGATTTATAATGCTGCACGGCTGCGTTTTATTATTCGTATGGTTATGCTTATTTATACTATTAAAATTGTAAACTGTTTTTAATGTTAGCAGGTAAGGCCCACTGAGCGTTATAGCTCTTTTTCAGAAGCAACCTGGCCAGAAATGATAGCTCAACGAAGTGGCTTATCACGTGAAAATTTTACGCAGTCCGAGGGAGTTAACGTCTCACCACCGGGAATGCCTCGGTGTGTCCCAGGGCTCCTTTTCGGAGGTTGTTGTCGAGTTTTTCGCAGTGTGACGTTGATGTTGCCATTGTAATTGTTCAGCATTGAAATATTTGACCAGTACCAGTTACCTTGCGTTGTGGTTTTTTTTGTAGCTATGGTAAGAAACGGGAGAACCTGTAGGAAAGCCATGCAGGACACCATTGCAGAACACGGGGAGAACATTCAGACTCCACACAGAAAGGCTCTCCCGAGTTGGGAGTTGAACCCAGACTTTTTGCTTGGAGGCACAAGTATTAACGCTGAGCCACCTTGCCAACAATGTTGCATTGCTGCCTTGTGCAGGAATGAAATGGACATTGTCTCCCGGCAGGCTGACGGATGACAATATGCATGACTCATGTGTTCGGCAGGCATTGTGTGTTCTAACCATCTTCTTGCCCAATAGGCTGTCGACACCTTGTGGGAATGCAATCTGTTGCTTTTATTTGAGTGCAGCGATTTTACAAAAGGCCTTTCGATGACAATACAGCTGCAGTGAGCAAGTTTTATTTTACCTAAGATTATACCCCTCTTTGTCTGCAATTCTATTGGTTGCAGCAGCCAGTGGGGGTTTTAGGGGTGGAGTTTGTAGCAGGAGTAGCTGATGGTTCAATTGGAGTGTCTAACATTATCGTCTGCTCTGCTTACTGTAAATGCTGTACATGGCCTGCATTCATATATCTGCATCACAAACGCACTCTGTGTGACTTTGCAAGTCCGACACGAACATTTTATCGTCTGTGAGCCTTTATCGCACTTGTTAGCCTGTGTTATATGATAGTTTGCATTTCATAAGCCTGTGCTGCTTTCTCGCAAACACCATTTAACTTGTGTTCCACTTTCGCCTACCACACTCGGCATGTTTTACATGGTCGTGTACATTAGTAGACCGTGTGCGATGAAGAGAGATTGTTATTTTGAAGGCAGAGGGGGAGAATTATGGACATGAGGATGTACTTACGTATGTTGAACTTCTTTCCCACCGTACGTAGCCAACCGTGCTAATTGGAGGTGTAATGAGAGAGGACTTCCCTACTGAATAAGATTTCTCTATCCAAGAAAACAGTTGAGTCAGAGACATAGTAGAAGAGAAAAGCCTTACACCAAGGCTTCAGCAGAGGGATGGAGTCAGTCATGCAGTCAAAGGGAATTACTTCCGCACCTCAGGAGCCTCCATGCCCGTAAATAATTCCTGTATTCCACAAATGTTTACATACACAGGCTGTCAAACAGTTGTTTCTACCCTGTAAGGCTGAGCCTCGGTCACATCCATCCGTAAGTCGACGTCACGCAATGATGCCTAACACCAAGAGCCCTCGCATTACATTTACGTGTGGCCTCGGGGTAATGCTGAATTACTCTTAAGCATACTCCTGTGCTCCTGTGCTGCTGTGCATGTGGCGTGCTTACCAACAGTCGACTTCGTTCCTCGGGCAAACATGAGAACGGCGCATCATATGATCCTGTTCGGCTGCAAATCGCGGGAACCCACCACCAATGTATCCTGGTCAGTGTCGTTCACGACCCCCACGCGGCCCACACGCGGCCCACACGCGGCCCACACGCGGCCCACACGCGGCCCCAGTGCGACCCCTGCATGGCCCCGATCGGTCCCACACGCTGGCCCCGACACGACCCCCACACGGCCCACACGCGGCCCCAGTGCGACCCCAGTGCGACCCCTGCATGGCCCCGATCGGTCCCACACGCGCCCCACACGCTGGCTCCCACACAACCCCCACGCGGCATCCGCTTACGAGATTGTCCTGACCACTCATGAGCGCTGCGCTTTTGCTCACCACTCGCGCCTATGTTGAAACAATTTAGACACACGACTTTGCTTATCAACACCATTGGTTATATTTTTTTAACCCTCTATCGCGATTGTTAGCCTGTATTACACGACAGTTGACAGTGCTAAGTCTGCTGTACATGATCGTGCACGTTTGCATCTCAAGACACTGCACACAAAAGAAGAGAGATGCATTCCAAGTAAACCTGGAATGTTGGGCCAACGTTGGTTCCACCACGTTGCCAACATTGGCCCAACATTGCCACATTTGAATGGGGTATTAGATCGTGTCAGATGGTGGCAAAATGTAATTTTGAAGGCAAAGGAGAAAGTTATAGAGAGGAGGATATGAGAAATTGATCTTCAACTTTTCGGTGAGCTTAATAATGATTGGCACTTTAAACGTTTTGTACAGGTGACATTTTGATTTGTCGGGCGGTGGAGTTGTGTTACGAAATGAATTTGGCCAGATAATTACGTGGCCTAAGGCAAAAAATCAAACCTGAATCGTGTATTGTTTTACTCTACTGTTCCATGGGACTCAAAGATGTGAAAAATACCCTCGTCCCTTGTGCTCCTGTGTGGTGTGCACGCGTGGTGTGCACGCGCGTTTTGTGCGTGCATTCCAGGGATTGCGGGAGGGATGTCAGTCCCTGCCAGGATTCCAGTATCATGTACGCCTGGGCACGCAATGCCCCTCCCACGCGGCTGCCAAAGGGTACGCACGCACGCACATATACGAGCACACACAACCTTGATCGTGTAGAGATATATTCTTGTTACAGCCATTGCATCCACTTTATCGAGACTGCATTTATCCATCCACCGACCGTCGCAGCCACCCACTCGCCCAACCAACAAAACCAGGCAGCCACCCAGACACTTACCTAGCTACCCCCCTAACCACTCAGAACATGCCCACCCAGCCAGCCTTGAATTGATTTTAATTTGATTTCTCCTCAGATGTGGGCTTCCGCGTGTCAGGGAGCAGCGATGTCAACTCCTTCATGCTGCAGGTTCACTACGGGGACATCTCCACCTTCCAAGGTAGCAACGGCCAGCGGTAGTGGTGGTGGCAAAGTTCCCACTCAAACTGAAACGGAACCAAAAACTCAAGTGAGGGCCAGGTGAAGCACTGAAGGTGACTCCAGACTGAGGGTTTGCTGTCAGGGGCAGGACTAATGCTAGGAATCGGTTGCCTAGTTTCTTCGTGTTATGGGTGAGACTGGCGTTTGGTTAGCTATTGTTCTCTACCCTCTAACTTGTCTCTCCCCATTGCAAAGTTTGGCTTTTTCAATTTGTCAGTTTAACATGTAGGCTTTCGCGACCAATATTATTCATAATAAAGGTTTTTGGGTTAGATCGCGTTTATTTATAAATGTGTCGTAACCCTCCACCACCCGACATGGCCAATCAGCAAAAAAAGTGTCACGTTGACAAAAAGACAAATAATTCACTACTTTAGCCCACCGGTGTGTTGAAGAGTGAATCCACATTTACAGTTTGAGTACGACGTTTCGCTGGTAAATACATCCAGCATCATCGGGCAATTCGCCAGAATGGTAAAGCCCTCGCTTGCTCCCGGTTTTATATAGAGCAGCAGGTTGACGTCATCACATTACATTTTGATTTAAAGAATTACTAATCTACAACTCATTACTAATCATAACCAATGACTGATCACTAATCGATTATATAATTACAATACCCCCCCCCCCTCCGCCTCTAATCACTGCACCTGATATGAGTTAAGTGATGACGTCAACCTGCTGCTCTATATAAAACCGGGAGCAAGCGAGGGCTTTACCATTCTGGCGAATTGCCCGATGACGCTGGATGTATTTACCAGCGAAACGTCGTACTCAAACTGTAAATGTGGATTCACTCTTCAACACACCGGTGGGCTAAAGTAGTGAACTATTTGTCTTTTTGTCAACGTGACACTTTTTTTGCTGATTGGCCGTGTCGGGTGGTGGAGGGTTACGACACATTTATAAATAAACGCGATCTAACCCAAAACCTTTATTATGAATTTTTCAATTTGTGTTAACTTCTCAGTTTTTGTGGTGTTGACAGGTTATGGATTCTAGATCCGTTTAGTGATACGGGTAGACTGAAATTATTCCAGGTCTGCTCTCAAGGGATGGACGGCAATGAAAGCGGTTGTCCGGCCGGGTGGCTCGACAGACGAGAGAGCAGCTCGCAAATCAGGAGGTTGAGAGTTCAAATCATGGTTGGGGGTTTCACTCAGCTTATCAATCCTGCAGGGTCGATAAAATGAATACCACTTTGTGTGTAAGTCAACAGTGGTTGTCCTTTGGATAGTCTCACCCTCTTACATAGGAATGTGGAATTTCCACAACGAGCTAGAGCTGGTAAGAGGAGATAAGCACCAGTGACTGAATACTCATTTGAGCAAGAAATAACTTTTTTTTACTTTTGTTTGACACGTGAAATATCCCCGTAATGTATCACTCCAGCTACCTTACAAATAGCACTCGTTGTAAATGCCATGATTGGTGAAGGTCGACGTTAGTGCTCATCTTCATTGGCCCAGATTGTGGAGCCAATAAAATATTTTTTTTGCGCGAAAGCGGATGAGCCGTGTTTTGCAAAACGAAAAACAAAGAAATGGCATATCCATTGCACTCGCGTTTGTTTCAGATCGGCACAGTGACTGTACAGGAGTGACTCTTCACCTAACCTACCAACGGTGAGCTTGCTCTTTTAAGTCGACTGATTAAACACGTTGTTGAATGGCACGCTATTAACTCGGGAATTACAGCTATTCCACGCGTTTATTGAGTGCTGCTGCGATACCGTACCTCGCGTTTGTGTTGTCCATGCATATGCGTGTTCATTGCCGCCGCTGCTGTCTCTTGACAGACAATCGAAAATCGCTGGAATCTACCTTCTCATGTCCCCGAACTTTAATATCCCAGCTGGAATAAAAGGTGAGGTCAGGTGTTCTTCAGCAAACGCAGTTGAGGATTCTAACGAATGTAAATGCACTGTTGTGTACACAAGTTGAACTAAAGGCATGGAACCAATAACTGCAACAGCCAGTCATCTGTGTTATTTAATTGCTTCAGAGTTTGTTTTGCACAAAGAAAACTGGACTTTTGTGAGCCAGACATACGCGTTTGTGTCTTTGTGTGTTGGCATGCGCGTTGTGTAGTGGTCGGAGTGTTGCGCTACAAACCCGGCGACCCGAGTTCGATTCCCACTTACGGCCACCAACACCGTGTGACAATTATCTGAACCGATCCTGGGCCTCACCTAGGTCGACTGAGCCTCAAATGAGTACCTGGTGCGGTGTGTAAACAATCACCACTGGGGAGACAAACGCGGCCCAGCATGGAGCTGGCCACCCACCCCCTCATGTGCCGTGCCGGCTTTCATCGGCGCTCGCTAACAGCGCTTGCCCCAACAGTCTGTTAAGGATATACGGGGGATCTTTATTCGCGTGCGTGCATGGGAATAGCTCTCCCTGCTTATTTTTCATTTTTTGCATGTTCGTATAAAGGAGGCCTATTGCAAGTGACTTCAGAAGTATATTTGTGAACATCGGCTTCCGGAGTCATTCTCTAGCAGAGTGGTGCACTGCTCACTGCAAGAGTTATCTCATCATGTCGTGGCATAACGCCAATAGCACAACAAGCACAACTGGAATATGTACACGTCTACATGTCCAGCCCTTTTGCCAATTCACTGCTGGATGAGGGCCTCATCTCACCTGGGCCGATTTTTTGGAATATAATAATCATACCTGAGGTGGGGGGAGCGTGGACTGGGGGGAGAAAGAATAGTTGCTCATCCTGTTAACTCCTCTCCCTTCCCTCTCTCACCCTCCACCCTGGCACGTCGCAGAGGTCAATGTGGACATGGCGTGCGTGTACAACAAGGAGGTCCCCATCTACCCGTTCGCATACCGCGTGCATGCCCACCACCTCAGTGAGTGATTGTTGCTCGCACGTGCACCCTCGTACACGCGAGTGTTCTCCCTCCCACCAAAGTCCCATGCTCACGTCCGTGTCGCGGATTGTGGGCAGCGGCTCATGTACAAACGTATGCCGCACGTATATGTAGCCAGCTGCACTAATCGGAGGTGCCAACGTTCCCGTGCCGCTAACCCACTGATCACGTGGGGGCGCTGCCTGACATGTTCGACTATGGTTGAAGCTGTTCCCCTGAGCCGCTGCAGTAGCCATGAGAGCCTACCATGAACCACGAAACCATCGGCTGGAGAGGCTAGGTCATCCGTGGCCGGGCTCTTTCTTGGTGCTGCCAGGGAAAGGGCTGACTTGGGAGCAGGTGACATTTAACCACGTGACGGTGATGGTGTCACCTAAAAAAAGAACGCTCATAAGGAATGCAATTTTAAATCTCTTCAATGATGATTCCTGAGTGATGGGGAATCAGACCAAGGACCTGACATTGAGCGGAGGACTAAATACATTTCTCTCTCGACCGCCTGGTGCCCACCTTCTTGGCTTGGAGTCGCGTCGAAGTATCTCCTTGCTCCAATGAACGGTCATCTCATTGGCAGGTCGGAGCTGCCGGTGAAAATGTCACATTCCTATAGATCTGGCCAGTCTCTCCACAGGACGACTGTTGACTCCTTTCCAAGTTGCGGTATGCTGAGTCTACGGCTGACCGCCATTTGAACTCTAAAGTACTTGCTTTTTGGTGATGCATGTTCGATTTGTTTGTGTGGTGGCCTCATTGATCGCACCGTTGTGATTTGGAATGTTTTAATCTTCGTTCGTTCCCACTCCCTCTCTTCCCCACTCCACCTGTGCGCCCGCTGTTCCACGGTGCCGCGCGTGCGATTGGTGAGCGCAGGTCAAGTGATCAGCGGCTACCGGGTTCGTGACGGTAACTGGACGGAAATCGGCCGGCAGACCCCACTGCTGCCACAGGTGAGCATACCCACTATAACCCTCGCCATCCCCTAGCCTCACCATCCCATGGCTTCATCATATGTTGTCCTCCCTCACCACCTTCCTTCCACTAGCCTCACCTTTCCATAGCCTCACCACCCCCTATCCTTGCCATCCTCTGGCTGCACCTTCCACTCCTCTCATCTTCCCCTAGCCTCACCGTCTCCAATCCTCGCCATTACTGTGGTGGTAGTGGTGTTATTAGCCCCCGAGGCACCCAGCGGACTCCCCTTTCTTCCCCTCACTCCAAGTGTTGCGCTGTCGCAATGTCGCCCCTACAGGCGTTCTACCCGCGCGCGGAGCCCATGGAGGTCAGGTTGGGAGACATCGTGGCGGCTCGCTGCGTCTTCTCGGGGCTCGGGATGTCCGAAACCACCTACGTCGGGTGGGTGACTCGCCGCGCTGGCGCCACGTAGCACGGGCGCACGCCCCCTTCCCGTTGCGCCATCTCACCCGCGCCGCCGTCGTGTGCGTCTCCCCTTCCCCCTCCCGTTTGTGCACCCACCGTCCCCGCGTCGCCAGCATGAACTCGGACGACGAGATGTGCAACTTGTACATCATGTACTCGACGGACGCCTCCCAGGGCAATCCCAGCATCCGGTGCATGAAGCGTGGAGAGGCGCGGCTCTTCCGAGGAATTCCGGCGATCGCCAACGTTCCCGTGCTGATGCCCAACCGCTCGCCCGATGGTATGTATGTTGAACTTGTTTCGCACCGAACATAGCCAATCGTGCTCATCGGAGGTGCGGATGGTGAGGCCCTGCCTTGCCCTGCTCAGCCTGCGTTCGCTGTAGCAGCAGATTCCGCCGCCGCTAAGAAAAATAATAGCGATGTCGTTTATCAACACAAGCCTCACTGGGTCTGGAGACTTATTTTAACACTTGTCCGTCAAGGTTGAAAGTGTGATTGCATACTAATTATGTCTGTAACATGTGGTCATAACGACTTGTAAAGATGGTACGTTATATGGTAAATTAAGTTTGAGTGTAAAATTCGAGTTGCCCTCTAGAAAATTGGCTTATTTTACCAAAGGGATTTCCAAAACTGGAACGATAAAAACGCAGCGCTCAATCGATCGGCCTTCATTTCCAAGGGCGATAACATCACAAGTCGCGCGCACGCATCCCTTGCCGATGATGTAATCATGTGCGATGTCATCTCCCCACGTCACACACCTTGTTCCGTCTCCTTATTGTTGCGGCCTCTTTAGCATGTATTTCGCATCGTTTCAATTTTTCAATGAATGTGTATTGACATACATGGTGTCACTACTGTGTAGCGACAGTACCGAGTGATGAGTGGTACTGTATGCGTGGTGCCTCTCTATGGCACCAGTGTGAGCATGTCACGGAATGGCTCACTCGAGGGCAGGGTCCGGGTGTCACTGAGGTCGGGTCAGGACATGATGTCCTGGGTGAACTCGAGAGGACACGTGACCGGACGAGGGGGCAAGGGGACCCCCAGATGGGGGTGTGAGGGTCACGTGATGTGGAACCAGGGCTCCCCCGAAGGATCTGGAAGGGCAGAGCCGGCCATGCCGCAGCTGTTATAAGCCGAGTGCCGAGAGGGATCTGGGCTGTTGAACTCTGGGAATGAAGCCGAGTGCCGAGAGGGATCTGGGCTGTTGAACTCTGGGAATGAAGCCGCCGCCTACGATCCTCGGTCACCGGTCTTCGCTCGTGGACCAGGCAGCCTGTTAGCTGTCCTGGTCTGACTATATAGATCCCCTCGAGTGTTAGTTAGTAGCGGTGGTCACCGCCCTATGTAGTTATCCTGTTAGCGTGAAGCGTTACCTGCTGTGTTAGTTAATAAAACGTGTTGCCTACGAGTTCAAGTGTGCGCCTCAATTTGAACCCACTACAAATGTCTAAATTTCCATGTGGCTATGTTGTGGCCAACATAATGGCAGTCCAACAATATCCATTGTTGTACTTTACTTTTGTGCCTCCACGCTCCGTGCCTTCACCAACCCGCACAGTGAAGTGTGGACAAATAAGCCCACGACCCGCACGGTGTGGTTAGGCCCTCATCCAGCAGTGGATTGACGAAGGGCTGCACTGGTGCCTAATTTCCTCAGCGCGGGTGACATCTGACCGTCCGCTCATCGGTCGCTTGGTCTGCGCTGAAAACGAGGACTCCACCGCTCGGCTGTCACTCTCGCGATGTCCTCCCCATCCCTCCCACCACAGACCTGAAGCTGGAGCAGGACACGCAGTGGCACCCAGAGGGGGTCACCCTCGGGCAGGTGACGGGGCTGGCCGTCGACACGGATGACCTGATTTATGTGTTTCACCGTGCTGACCGCATTTGGGACCCCCGTCGGTCAGAAGCTGATGCAAACACGCATACGCACACACTTGCGCGCAACACCCAAGCGTTTGCACCCACACACAAGTACACTCACAGCATACGCATAAGCACTATCGTTCATATATAAACCATGAACCAAGACAAAGACCCCCCTTATGGCCTTAACAGGCAGTTGGGGCAAGTGCTGTTAGCGAGCACCTATGAAAGCCGGCATTTTACTTGAGCGGGTGGGTGGCCAGCACCATGCCCGACCACCTTTGTCTCCCCAGTGGCGATGTTTATACACCGCACCAGGTACTCATTTGAAGCTGAGTCGAGCTGGGGGAGGCCCAGGACCGGTTCAGATAATCGTCACTAGTGTTGGCTGTGACCGGGAATTGAACTCGGGTCGCGGTTTCATAGCGCAATGCACTAACTACTGCGCCACCACTCCCATGCGCAGATACAGGACATACATGCATGCATGAGCCTCGGACACTTGACGTGTACTCAGTGTACCTAGCCTGGTACAAGCACTGTGGTGACTTAGTGGTGAATGGCACGTGTGCATGTCTGTGTGTGTTGGTCCTCAGCTCCTTCAACAACCGAGATGAGTTCCTGGAGGATCATCTGGGCCCCATCGCTGAGGACACCATCCTGGCATTTGACCCAGTGTCTGGGCACCTCGTGCATTCGTTTGGCAAGGGCATGTGAGACACACAGCACTCGTACATGCACACGTACATGTAGAGCCCTTGTTGTCAATCCACTGCTGGATGAGGCACTCTCCCTGGCTTGCGGACCCCAGATGATTATGTGACCATACTCGCTGGGCTGGGCTGCTGGCTGTGCACGTGGCCTGTAATCCTGCGCCGTGGAGGCGAAGGTTGGTGAATTGTTGCATGAATGCTGTGCAACTCCCCTCCCGTGGTGCCTGCACCACGACTTGCCGTGAGAGGGCGGCACATCAAAGTGTGGGGACTACGTCTGTTCCATCTGTATGTGCGTACGTACGTTGAACTTCTTTCGCACCGTACGTAGCCAACCGTGCTAATCGGAGGTGCAGGGGAAGAACAACAAACTGAAGTGTTACCCCCTCACTGCCTGTGGTTTTTCTCTGGGTGCTCAGGATTTCTCCCACATTTGTAACACTCAGAAATTGTCCGATAACAACCTTAATATATAGAGGACTGCAGAGCTAGGGTGGGGAACTTTGCCCGGGCTCGACGCCTGGCTGCCTTCCCACTTGTTTGTGGTTCATCTCGTCTCTGGAAAGCTCACTCTGTGAGAGTGAACAAACACTGTGTGGTGTGCGTAGCAAGTTGAAATTATTATTGTTATTAAATTTATTTGACTGAGCGTGGGAGACTGATAAAGGCGAGTTGCTCACAGTTCGATGGGACTCGACGCCTAAACATTTCTCAAAAGTTATTTCAGTGGCATGTCTCCCTATAATTACGTTTCCCAAATGTAAACGTTTTAATAGACACATTGCTCTAGAGACAAAATAAATCGCATGCCTTTAAATAGACAATGGCCAAGGATGATAGTGATGATGATGATAATGATGATGTTCTGCATCCTATACAATTCAGTGTTAACAGCTTTAATTTTTCCTCCCTGTCAGTCGTGATGGATGCTTTCCTGTGTGGACCCACGTGAATAATTTATCATAGCTTCCCTACAGGAATGTTGTACATGCACGTGTATGTAGGTGTGTGCATGTGTATTGCAGTGTTGTAGAGTGGAGAACGGGAGTGTAGCGGTTAGCGCGCTGCGTTACGGCGTCCCGAGTTTTAATCCTGCTTACAGCCAACACCAGGGACCAATGTCTGAACTGGTCCTGGGTCTCTCCTAGGTTGACTCAGCCTAAAGTCAGTACCTGGTGTGGTGTGTAAACATCGCCACTGGAGAGATAAAGGTGGTCGGGCTTGGTGCTGGCCACCCATCCCCTTTGTGTGCCGTGCCGGCCTTCATAGCTGCTCACTGACAGCACTTGTCCCAACAGTCTGTTCAAGGCGATACGGGGGATATACGTCTTGTGTGTATGTGCCTGTGTCTGGATGTACCTCTGTCTGGATGTACCTCTGTGATCACCGGTGTGTTTCTGTGTTCAGGTTTTATCTACCACATGGACTCAGCATTGACTTTGAGGGCAAACTGTGGGTGACGGATGTGGCTCTGCATCAGGTGGGTGCTAACTGTAATACTGAGCCTATGTTTATATTATTTGGGTCTTTCGGTAAAGTCACGCAGATAAGTTCAAAGAAAATAACAAAAAAAATAACAACAAAAAACTACGACGTTTCGATTGCAACACAAACATTTGTCCTTCCTACAGTCTTGAAAGCTTTAAGTCAAGATTTAACCCTATGTTGATGAATGTCGTTGGCCAAACATCCAATATAGGACGACAGAGCTTGGGCAATTCCAAACGATTGCTAACAATAGCCCAAGCACTTCTATCCGCCTTCTCGCTTGTCTGTGCACGCTACAAATTCTATAGCATTTTCAGATGCAATTTTGGATGAACGATGCAGGTATATAAAAATAAAACGTGATTTTTATATTTATGCAGGAGAGTCTCACTGGGTCTCAAGAGATGCCTGTATTGGGAAATTTGGCCAATTTTTTTTGACAAATGTTTTTCTTCATGTGGAAGGAAACCCGAGTGCCTGGAGGGAAGAAATGCATACTCAGGGAAAATATTGCAAGGTCCACACAGATACATTTTACAAGTCAACTTGCTGTTCTGCCTTATCGTGGCTACCTCTCGGCGCAACTGGTTTTGTGAGCTCACAAAATCTGTGTGACCCACCGCATTTTGCACTTCCAAATCGCTGGGTCGCAGATGTGCGCCACTAGGCCTTACGTGAACAAGATCACCCGTAACTAATGGTGAATTAACGTCGCAGGTGGATGTCTTTGCTTGGATTCCATGAGTTGATTCCACTCTTAACTAGCAAACGTTAAGGGCTCTCGGGCACGATGAAGACCATCGCATTCACTTTATTTAGAAACATTTCGGAATTTAATTTCTAGCCCCCCCCCCCCCCTACTTTGTGGACCAGAGATCACTTTGAGGGATGTCGGAGGTAGCTCTTTGATATCCGCTTACGTGGTTCGCTCTCTCACGCAAACGGGCCGCACTGCTGTGTTGAGAGAGATCCATCCGAACGGACGCTGTGTCTTATTCCATGACATCGATAACGCATTCGGAATAAAATATATATTGTTTAATTGAACACCTTAAAGGGCTTTCTCACCACGCACGGCCTGCTGTAAAATGTCCGTTAAACGCCCCGTGTCATTGCTCGTCAGCGGAGATGCCTTTTGCTTTGGAGAGGCTATCCACTGGGGCCAATTAACAAAGAAGAAGCGCAGCTTGACCAGTCCGTCTTCCGCCCCAGGTGTTCCGCTTGGCCACCGGGGGTGGGAAAGAGCCACTGCTGACGCTGGGCCAGCGCATGCGCCCTGGCGATGGCGCCTCGCACTTCTGCAAGCCCACGGACGTGGCGGTGGATCCACGCTTGCGCCTCGCATTCATCTCCGACGGATACTGCAATGGCCGCATCGCGGTGTTCTCCCTCGACGGCACCTTTGTCAGAGAGTGGGGCACCGGTGCGTGCAGCCAGCCTCCTCCGGTCTAGTGCCAGTGTGCGATTGTGTGTGTGTGCCTGTGCGTGCCAGTGTGCGATTTTGTTTGTGTGTGTGTGTGCGTGCCGGTGTGCGATTGTGTGTGTGTGTGTGCGCGAGTCTCTGTGTTTTCTATTTTGTGGCGAGTGATGTGTGTACTTGAGTGGTGTGCATTTGTTTGTGGCGGCTGAAACACTGAAGGGTGGCACAGCAGGCGAGCGCAGGTTGGTGAATCTACATGTCAACTCGTTTAAATCATAATGCCTTAGACTACGCTTGTGCAACGAGCCTTCAACATTTCATTCGGCCTCAAAGTGCACCTAGCCTGGCGCAAGAGCTATGATGGGATCACCGACTCTTATTGGCGAATGGTCGGCTACTGTTGAGTAATTTGTAAGGGTCTGTGTGTTTTTGATTTGTGGTATTGGCAAGGGCGCTGTGAATTAGCGAAGGGTGCTTATAAAGTATGTTATGGTCGGTGAGTTCGCCATCAGCATATGTACGTATGTATGTTGAACTTTTTTCGCACCATACATAGCCAACCGTGAGAGTCGGAGGTGCGGGCTGTATTTCAATTAATCAGTTTGCATGAAGTGTTCTGTGAGCGTTCGTTGTGTGGCAGCTGTATCTTGTTCACGCGCACGCTCGCACGGTTGTGACCTCGTGCGCACGTCTCCTGCCACCAGAGGGCTCCAAGCCGGGCGAGTTCCGCATCCCCCACGCCCTCACGCTGGTGAGCCGCGTGTCGGACGACGCCGGCAACGACGGCGGCGGTGACAGCAGCGCGCTGTGCGTGGCGGACCGCGAGAACGGACGCGTGCAGTGCTTCCGCGCCGACGACGGCACGCGGACGCGCACCATCGAGCACGCGGCGTTCGGCGGCCGCGTCTTCTCGCTCGCCTACACGCCGGCTAGCGGTACGGCTCGCTCCGCTTGGACACCGGCCGGCCGCGAACCTCACACCGGCCGGCTGAGATGGCGCTTGAAAGCGTTGCTGCGAACGGAGGTGTCGGGGCAGGCCGACACCCCCGTGGGTTCGCGTCGGGGCGGCCACGTTTGGCGAGCTGATGGTCGTCTCAGCCCAGTCACAAGTGAATGAACAACACAACTCGGATGTGTTACGTTTGGTTTTGGACTTGACTTGGAGAAACTCCAGCTCTTGAGAATTCAAACTCAGTTTGACTGTCTTGCGAATCACTTGGAGCGGGAAAGGTTTACCTGCGCTGTGTAAAAGATAAAGAGGCCACCTTAGGAGAAAGAAATCCATTACACTGCTGTGTGCTGCTATGCAAAATTTCCGAATGTTTTCTTCATCTCATCATCGCTTTGCCGGCAGCACGGTCGGAACAAGTTGGGCCATAAAAGACGGCACGTGTTTCGGCACAGCGTGGCCCGTTTTGACCCGCATCGACGAGTTATAACGATGCCGTGAAAACCAAAGCTGCTGCTTTCCAAAGGTGGTCCTATTGCACCTGAACCACCCAATGTTGTGGTCTGTGGGTGATCGAACAAAGACCGCATTCTTTTATATATTTTATTAATTGGTTTTTGAGCTTGCGTGTTTACACAGCGCAGAAATACGGGAACCATGACGTAGAGCATTAAGCAAGGCTGGTAACGTAACCCGCCAGCGGTGCAGGTATGAACACATCGCTGCCAGGTTTGTGACAACAGGCCGCGGCGTAGCTGGCGAGTGTGCAGGCAGCGCAACTGCACTGGGGCCCATTGGCCGGAGAGAGCCGGGAGGTGGGGGGGGGGGGGATATTGGACAGGAGTAGGGGTGGGCCCCATTTCATTACTTGCAGCAGGGCCCACACCAACCATGCTGAGCCACTAGCTACAGGCACCTTTTGGACGGTGCTGTATGTATATATGTTGAACTTCTTTCGCACCGTACCATAGCCAGCCATGCTAATCGGAGGTGCAAAAGTGTGTGTGTGTGCTGGGTGTGCGGAGTGGTAGTGTAGCGGCTAACGTTTAGCGCTACACACTCGGCAACCTGAGTTCGATTCCTGCTCATGGCCAAACACGAGTTGACGATTGTCTGAATAAGTCCTGGACCTACCCGAGGTCGACCCAGCCTCCAATGAGTAGCTGGTGCAATGTGTAAACATCACGAGGGAGATAAAGGCGTCTGGGCGTGGTTCTGGCTACCCACCTCATACTTCATGCCAGCCTTCATAGGTACTTGCTAACACCACTTACCCCAACAGTCTGTTAAGGATATACGGGGGGTCTTTGTGATGGGTTGTGCTGTGCTCAGGTGGGCTGCTCTACGTGCTCAACGGGGCTCCTCTGACAGGAGAGGAGGGCGGAGAGATGCCCAAGGGCTTCGTGCTGCGCTATGACACCGGCGACATCCTCAGCACCTTTGTGCCCAAGGACGAGGTGGACTCTCTTGCCATCACTCTGCCCGTCTGTCTGAACGTCCATCCCCTTCATCTGTCTGATTATCCGTCCATCCGTCTGTACGTTCATCTTCGTGTCACGGTGGCTGCGTTAGCCGTGAGAGAGGCGATGTTCCCAAATATTGCCGATTTGTAATGCGAGGTTTGGATGAGCGGATTATTCGCCTGTGATTCTTTTGATTTTTTTTCTCCTTGCAGTTGTATACAGCCTTTGCTGCCCGTAATTGTTGCCATAAATCTTTTTGTTGTTGAATACCTTTAATCCAGGAAGTGGCTTAGGTGGATTCTGACTGGTAACTCTGCATGCAAATGACTGCCAACAAGTTGGGCTGTGTGCGGTGGTCGCGAGATACTGGACTCGACTTTTTTCTGTCCGTGCATTGTGCTCAAATTGCAAACAGTCCCCCGAACGGTGGACTCTCAAAAAAAAAGCCTTGAAAATCAGTGAGGATCTTTTAAATTAACGACGACGGGTTTCCCTCTGTTTACGAAAGGGATGCGTTCCTCAATAAACACGCTGTAAAACGAGATTTTGTAAATCGGGAATAGCTTTTCCCATTACTTTTTTCTCCATCCGGGATGTGTTTCGGACAGTCATTCCAACTCTTACCCTAATCTTAAAATTACACACCTAAGTCACTTTTGACAATACAAAAATAATAATATTAAAGAACATCAATGTTAAAACGATTGAATGATAATTGAAAATTAAAATATTTAACCTTTTTGGGGAACTCACCAAAAGATGTTCTGCATGTTGGAACGACTTGCAAAGCGTTGTGGAGGCGTTACTGCTGTTGCATTGTGACGCTCTCATTGATGGATGACGCAGCCTCCTAGGTGCTTGTTGTTTGATGATCTCACGGCGAGTGCCGTAGCGAAATTTCGTGAACGCGGAAATTCGATTTCGTTAATCAAAGAGTGTTCATAATTTGTCAATTGCGTCAACGGGAAATTTCGTAAACCGAACGCTCGTAATTCGAGGGATACCCGTATTGTCATTAATCAACCTTTAACCGTTACATCCTGAAGGAGTAGTTCTCACTCAAGACGAGTGTGGGAAGAGTGCTGTTCTTCCTTGTGACCCTTACAACTTCCACATTACTCTAGTAGGAAGAAGGCCTGCTCGTACCAGAACGGTCATGGTGGTTCTTTAACCATACCTCACCACGCTGGTGAGTGCGGGGGTTGGTCACGGGGCGGGGAAGCACCAGGACTGATTCGGGTGCCACTCGCCACCGGTTTCCTCCGTGGCTGGAAATGGAACTCAGGCGGACGGACTCGCTCTGTAAGAGACTATTCTCATTGCACTTAAATTACTGGAGGAAAGGTAATTCAAGTTTACCAATTAACCATATTACGTGTAAGTTAGATAACAAATTAACTTTATGGCGGTACCCGGGGTACCATAGCACCCCCCCGGCTCTCGCACAGTGTCCTTGACGCAGTCATTTTTAGTCTGTTGATGGTCGGCAATGCGGCAATCGACTCATCTCGACGAGCCGTACACGATGCACCACCACGGTGCGTGCGAGCGTTCAGGGTTTCAACCCAATCGTCCTCGCTGCGTTTCGTCATCGTGGATTGGCAGTGATTTAGGATTGATTGGTACCCCAGTCGCAGAGTGAAGTTCACCCCTGGAAAAAAAGTGTCCCAGAAATAAAATATTTAATTGCCTCGGCCATTTTGTATTATTTGGGACCCCCGGGGAACCGCCATGAGGATCAAATAATCGATTCCTTTAAGGCGGGTAATTTCGATACCAATTACAAACTCCAAATCTAATTAAAGTTACATTTAATTAAAATGTAATTTAGATAGAGTCCACCATTGGCGAATGACCGGTAACGCTTGTGCTGCATCTTGCTGCTGCTGCTGCTCCGTCCCGACCCTGCAGAGGATGCACATGCCTCACGACGTGGCGGTCCTGGGCAACGGCAGCGCTGTGTTCGTGGGCGACACCATTTCCGGGCGCGTGTGGAAGTTCACGCCCGTCGAGAGTGAGACATTCATCACGCCTCCCCTCTCCTTCCTTCCCCTCCCATCACCCCCCCCCCCCCCGCCCCCCCCCCCCCCCCGCTATCTCTCGCATTCTCGCAGCGTTGTAACGATAAGCCGCTGTGCAATGGGCGTCGGCGTCATCGCAGTTTTGTCTGGAACTCGAGCCTCACCGTGATCCCTTGTGGCTGTGGATGCCCTCTCAGGCAGTACTTCAGTTCGCTGCTTGCATTTTGCACACTTTGCATGGCCTCTGGGTTTATTTTTTTCACGCGAGAAAGCGCAATTCGGTGGTTCGACTTTTCCCTCCGCTAAACCTTCCTGATGCTTGCGTCTGGTGGTGCCACGCCCATAATCCTGTGCTGAACAAATCTACAGTGAATCATTTATGTTTGAGAAACTGCCAGACCTGCAGAGCTGTGAGTTGCTGAGATAATAGTGGCGACAAGAATAGAGTTTTTGAATCCACCTTTTTGCGTGTTCCACGTTCGTTTGTGTACATGGGTTTTCTCTGTTTGCTCCGGTTTTCCTCCCACGTGCAAACACTCCTTGAAGGGCAATTTGCCACACGCCCAATGTAGCATCCTCTTGACGAAGCATCTGGAGCCTCGGAGAGACTTACCTGAATAAACAACATTTTCTTTATTAGTAAATAACCTCGCAGCCCCTCCCTCTCACCCCATCCTATGATCTCTTGGTCAGCGTTTATCCCCCGCCCCCACGCCCCGTTTGGCCGTCCACCTTCCCCTGTCTCTTTCACGGCATCTATGGCCTCTTGCTGGTGTCTGCTCCGCTGGTGTCTGCCACACGCTTTGCGTTTAGCCCTCCGTAGACTCTGCTTCGGTCTTTAACCTCGGTGTCTCCTCCTTCCTCCCTCTGTGTCTCCTTCTCCTCGCTAGAGGCCATCCACCGCTCAGTCAAGAAAGCTGGACCATCTAATGTGCATGTAGGGGCTAGCGGTAAGCAGCCACACCTCCAACAAGAGATTCGCTTTTTACTTCATCGCTCTCAGAGTTGTATTTGTTTTGGTTATCGTCTGCCTCTTTGTTTTTTGTTTGCAGTAATTACATGCAGAGAATGGCAAGTGCTGCTCATCTCGTTGCAAGAAATTCATCCCCAAGCAGTGTATCTATAATTGGAGGATGCGTTTCTTTAATCGGTAATGATGTGTGCACCTCCCCGTGCGCACGCACGCTGCAACTGTCCACGCAGAGTCGGGAGACCCGCGGCTGCTGTCGGGGTCGCAGCACGGTCCAGGGGATGCGGTGGTGGCGCCCGCTGCCCCTGGGGTGGCGAGCGGGCGTGCCACCCTGTCGCCCACATTCTTCGCCGCGCTTCTGGCGCTCCCAGCCATACTCGTGGCAGCGGTTGGGGGCTACATGGCGTGGCGGCACCGGGCCTACAGCGAGTTTGGAGGTGAGCGACGTCCACTCCCTGCTGCCTCTGTGGTGTGTTTAACTGTCTTGGCACCCACAAAGCAGACAGCTCTGGTGATAGCAGCAGGACCACCACCAACAACAACCAGCAGCAACATCGCCATCAGCGCCACCGCCCAGCGACGACTTCACTAGCAGCACCGCTTAAATCACCGCCATCTCTCTTAGGATCTTCCACTTAAAAATAAAGATTATGTACTAAAATAGATTGCAATCTATGCAAATAACGTGTCCCAACAAAGCAATACTCCACATCATGAGGCAGAATTTCACGTCATAAAGTACCTGCAACACGTAATGCGTACACAAATATGCTCGCCCTGCATATTAGTTTTTTTTGTTTACTCGCACTGCCGAGAAGTCTGCGTTTGTAATGACACTTCTCACCGTACCCCCTCCCCCCCTTACTCTCTGACTCCACTTCCTCTTCGTCCTTTCTTTTCGTCCTACCGCTCTTAAACCCCGCTGCAGCCCGGCAGCGAAACAAGGGCCTGAACCTGGGCACGTTCCTGGCTTCGCACGGCTCCTACTCACGCACGGGCTTTGACATCCTGAGCACGGAGGGCAGCGACCACGAGCACGCCAACACCTCCGACTCCGAAGTCGAGGAGTTCAACGCCAAGCCGCGGCACTCCGCCGTGCCGTGAGTGCCCGGCCGACGCCGCCGACGCCCGTTCCGAGGTTGTTCACGTCGGGGGGGGGGGGCCCCTAACCGATCGTGACGGTGTGAGTGGTCGCGACGTCATCTCACTTCTCAGTTCTTTGTGGAGGCCAAGCATGTCGTGCACGGTGTTTGCCGCACAGAGGTGTATTTTCGGGAAAAAAAATCGATAACAAATCGGAAGCCCGTGACCGTGCAAGGGTACGAATTCCCAAATTGTAGCTCGTTGTTCTACATGTGCGCGCCCGTGTTTGTTTCACGCATTGAGCTCGCCGCTTTGGTCACATTGGAATGCAAAGGCTGGCTGTCGAGTGAATCTGTTCTGGTGTTGGTGCGCGTGGCTTTAGAGGGTAGAGCGGGTGGTCTTTACAGGTAGGAGGAAGAATGTCGGTGTGAATATCCAACACCAAAACTACGGTGGAGGCCATTGTGGGTATCGAACGCTCGTAAAAAAACGCTCTTGTCAAGTTCTGTTCCGTGCTTTGGACAAAGGCATGCAAAGATTGAAGTCCATCGTGCGAAAGTCTTATGTTGTCCCACAGCAAAAAGTAGGACGCACACGACGTGTTTTGTATATTTTAATCACATTGCCTAATTTGCTTATCGGTCATCAATTTTAAGTACTTAAATGCTGCTGCGTTGAGTCAAATGGGCCAGGTGGTCACAGTGTAAGCTGCCAATCAAAATAGGACGGTGAGCGAGCGTCGAGAGTCGCTTATCTCGTGCTCGTGGATGCAAGTTGGTGTGAGCGAGTTTCCGTTACGTGGTGTGACGGTATGTTGCGAGGCGCCTGTGGCTGGCTGCTGTGTGTGTGTTCGTGTGTGCTCGGGTGTGTGGGGGGCGGTGGCGCAGCGGTCAGCGCGCTGCGCTACGTACCCGGCGACCCCGCGTTTGATTCCCGCTCACGGCCAACATCGGTGACGATTATTTGAACCGGTCATGGGCCTCCCCTAGCCTCAAATAGGTACCTGGTTCAGTGTGTAAACATCGCCACTGGGAAGACAAAGGCAGCCGGGCGTAGTGCTGGCCACCCACCCCCCTCGTGTGCCATCCCAGCCTTCATAGGTGCTCGCTAACGGCACTTGCCCCAACAGTCTGGTAAGGCTATACGGGGCATCTTTGTCTTTGGGTGCGATGGCGCCGATCATACATGGCGCAGAGCTTCTCGGTGTGCGTTTCGTCACATTTGGCTCCACGTTAGCAAAGAGTAATGATCCCTTCCTCCCCGCGAGCTGTCCTCGTACCCTGAGGTTTTCTTTTGGCGAAGGCAACCTTCGCTGTCAACTAAGGTACTGCTCTAGTTTTTCCCCTTTCCTCTTTGTGTGATAAATTTACCCATCACTCTTGTTAACTTGTGTTCAGTGATGCCCCCTTACCGAGTGCCATGCACGCGTATCGGGATGTCTGGGAGGATTTGCAATTATTTTCTTGCCGTTTTTTTTTTACTGAGCTCATTTCAGAGGGGCGCCACGGTAGCGAGATGTTAACTACCTCGCCTGGTGTACAGGCGAGGTAGTTAACATCCAAATATTCAAAACGTGCGTCGAGATAATTTTGCTGCTGTAAATTTCTACGCGACAAGCCACCTCGTTGAGCTATCATTTGTGATGGCCAGGTCACTTATGAAAAAGAGCTACATAGCTCAGTGGGCCTTGGTAAAATAAAAAAATATAATTTCATTATTTTTGTAATTAAAAAATCTAGTTGTGGAAGGCGATGTTGCAAGCGTGCGTGCGTGCTCGGCGTGCGTGTACACCTACACGTGTCGTATCAGTATGTCTGTGGACGTGGGTGTGCAACCTACGCATTTGAGGAGTGCGTGTCGTGTGCTGGGCTTTTTGCGCGTAGTAATTTTCGTGTGCATGTTTGCAATAGCTTGGCATTTCCTCCCCTGGCACGGGGGAGGCCTGTTCCGTTCATTACAGTGTTGAGGGGTCGCTGCCAAAATGCGGTTAAACCGTGAAGCGACTGCGGTATTCTGACCCTTTCCCTCTCTTCTTTAGCTGTTAATTGTGCGCAGGATACATCCTATGCCAATGAGAATGCCAAGATTTCCACTCATCTGAGCTTTCCCACCCACTCCATATTCTAGGCACTGTAACCACAAATCAATTAAGTTAAATGAGCTTGGCCAATTAAGAGTTTGTCCGTGGGTTTGTGTATTCGTACGTTTGTGTTTGTAGGTGTGCGTACAAACGCAAGTCTTTGTATCAAGATGTTTACTTTGTAGGGCTGCATGGCTTAAATGCCTTTACAGACTTGTTATGTAAGGTTGTGTTTGTTTCCATAAAGCATACAGTGCATGTGTAACTTACATAATTGAACTAAACTTAAAGCTGCTAAATTTGTGGAATAATTAAGCTGAAGAGACCTTGTTATTCACCCGAGGTTTTTTATTCACCAAAAAGGCTAAACTTTCTATTCCAAAATGAGAACGCAATGAGGTTTGGACTGACCCAAACTCCACAAAACACCGATCCGGTTTATCCACTGGCGCACGAGGGCAGTTTGCCCTCCTTTGTGAATGAAAACCCAGCCTCAATCTGAAGTCATGCAACGTAGCCCTGCCTCATTTGAGCGCAGTGGCTTCACAACTCCAAACCATGCCAAACGGGGCACTTGCTTTCATGGCACAGCTGCCCTCATCGGGACCCACCTTCCTTCCTTGTATTGTCCCCCACGGCTGAACGGCGCTCAACACTCATTCCGCGCCGGTCGTAATTGCAACGTGCCGTCGGTGAAATCGGGAATTTGGCCATGCAGAGACGGCGCACGCGCGCGGCGCGCAGAGTTGTAAAAGTCCGTCGTTGTGCACGCGGACTTGTTCGCGCCGCTTCGTTGCGGGGTCAGCTCGCGGCTGAGGATCCCTGCGTTCAAAGGCCACAAGCGTGGGTTGTCGAACACTGGGCGACTCCGCCGCTGTGCTTGCGTGACGCGAGCGCTTCTTCACTCTGCTCCCTTACACGATTAGCGCGGTTGGCTACGTACGGTGCGAAAGAGGTTCACCGTGCATTCATGCGTACACAGGCGCGCTCGTACTTACACCGTTGGCGTCTCTTGTTTTCAACTTGCGTTTAGCCGTGGCCCCCATCGTGATTGTATCAGCAGGTCACTGACCCCAATTCGGGTCACTGCCACACGACTGGGAAGCCCTGCCGCCCTTTCTCATTGTGATAAAAGTCTGCCGTCTGTTTTCATGTATCGTTTTGTATTTTGAGAGAATCGCTGTGTTGTGAGTGCACCCGGGCGTAATTACTCGCAAGGATGGAACGATGTGGTCGGGAGCACCGTGCAGGCTCATGGGATCTGGCCCATATTTATCTGCGCATGTTTGAAGAAAGGTCCCTTGGCAGACGCCCATGATACAGATTAACATTCGGTGAATCACAAAGTGCCCCGGGACCCAGTTACAAAAATGTAAAAAACGGTGCTTTCCCAACAGTTTTCGCCACCCGCGTGTAACTCGTAACGCTTTTGCCCAGCTTGTGACGACCTAAAAAAATATATATACACCGCTGCTCTGCTAAGCACTGAAGGATGTGGTGTGACTTTTGAGTTAAATAAAAAAAAAGGTTGCTTAGGCTACGCATGGACGAGGAAGTCAAATTTGCACAAACATTTATTGAGTGTGTCCTCTAGGTCACTTAATTTTCGATTTTAAAACTGTACCCCTCGCAAATCCAACACGTGACACTTTGTGCGTGCGCGTGCACGCGCGGCGACGCAAACGCGCGACGTGATGTACATATGTAAAGTTAAACGTGCGCGTGTGTCGCGTTCGATCCCATTGACGATGCCAGCAGGCGCCAGAAAGAATGTACGCTTGCCTCCTCTATACATTACGTGTAAATGACATCAGTAAACGGTATACAATTGTAGAAAACGTGTTTTAAAGTTATATTTATATGTAGATGTCAGTCGTGGATTATGGAGACGTCGAAACAAAGGAAAATAAACCAGGAAACTGAAAAATAACCAGAACCAGCAGCCCTGGTGTCCTGGCGAATTCGCATTAGTAGACGTCATTAACTTATTGTTGGAAATTTCCTGCAGTCATTACTGTTGTTGGACACTAACGACAACTGTAACGGTTATGCCCGTAAATTTTGATTTAAAGCTTTCGTGACTGCAGGGATTCATATTCTTGGTTCTTTCGGTAAAGTCACGTTGAAGGGAAACAATAAAATATATAAAAGAATACAATTCTCACGACGTTTCGACTGCAACACAAGCAGTCATCATCAGGTGTGAAAACCACAGCAAGAAGATTTGAAAAAAGTGGCGTTTTTTAAAGTTTTTTTTATTGTTTCCCTTCTACGTGACTTTACCGAAAGAACCAAGAATATGAATCCCTGCAGTCACGAAAGCTTTAAATCAAAATTTAAGGGAATAACCGTTACAGTTGTCGTGAGTGTCCAACAACAGTAATGACTGCAGGAAATTTCCAACAATAAGTTAATGACGTCTGATAATGCGAATTCGCCAGGACACCTTCTTTCGTTTTCGTCTTGTTGTCTAGCAGCTGAGCCTCCCGCCGTATATGACAGATCCCTATGTTCCAGCAGAGCTCTTATAGTGTCCTATAAAGTTTTATGATTTCTGATAAATGTGCACACAGGTACAACAAACAGAAACGCACGCAGAGAGGCAGTTCGTGTCTTTGGGGGGTGGGTCAAGCCAAAGGTAAGGGGTCACCCAGGCATGTGCTCTTGACTTGCCCACTGAGGCATTCAAGAACCCAGAGTCGTTGTCTCCTCCACAAACTCGTGATGGTCGCCTGTTGGGTCTCACTTGTATTGCTGTTCTAAAGTAGGAGTCCTGCTTTGTATTTGAAGGCGAAGGGTGATGGGTATTCTGCTGTTAGAAATTGGTGAATGTATATTGGTGTCCGTAGCTAAATTATTCGAGTTGAGTTACATTGTAACTTAAATTATTCAATCACCTCTTTAAAAAAAAAACAATTTGGTTTCACGCCTGGAGGTGAAACGCATCCATTTCATTTCCTGCCCTTCAAGCTTGTTCCCAGGGATTGTTTTTGGTAAAAGCGAAAGGAAATGTGTGTTCGAAAAGATAAAGAAATTAACACGCAACACTGCTAGAATATGGCCAATGAGTGATTTTAATTACCACCCGCTTGCGTCCGCATCACCTTTGTTGTTGATTCAACCAGAGATATAAAGAAACGCGAGCAACACGATTGTGTCAAAATGTCACGCCATTCGTCCACGCAGTTCTGTGTGATTTTACCATGTCCGTTTTATTTAAGAGTGCCAGTATAACGCCGTCGTTTTACGTGTTTATTGAGATTATTGCCCCATATATTGTTGCCATGAGGTGTTGTCGAGTGAGCCGTGTTCATTTTGTTCTTTAGTTGTCACGCGGGAATAAAGTGTTTTGCAAGATGGAATCGTCTGATGTCTCGTGATTTTCGTTTTATTTCTACCTCAATTGTGCCATCTTGGTATCACGTGATCAGACAAAGTGACCAATCGCATCTCTCGCAGAGCAGGCAAATGCTTCGTGTTGGAGAATTGCCCGCATAAGTGGGGGTAACAGAGCTACCTCTGAGGCATCTTCAAGTGACCTGGTCCACAAAGTAGAGGGCATCATTGTCCCACCCGCTCTGCCATATGAGAGTAACGTTCATCACATGACAGTGGAACCGATTGTATACATTTTCAGAGTTGGAATTTAACCACGTTTAAAGTGATGGTGTTTTTTTTATGCGATAGTTATCGGTTACTGGGATAAGATCATAAACTCTCTACACGTGAGAACCCTGTTTAATTGCGGGCGGCTGGATTCGTGCCCAGGTTCTCAATGACGCCATCTCGGTGCATAAACCTCTGGGCCACCTGGGTGTCCACCTGTGAATGCGTTTTAAGTCAGGCAATTGGATCTTCTGTGTAACTCGGTGAGCCATAAATTGAGACCAAAACGTCTCGAGTATCCTCCATGCAAGGAAAGTATTGTGTTGCCCTGAGAAAGTGGTGGAAATTCCACGTTCCCAAGGCGGGTCTCGTCTTTAGGATGACCACTGCTCACTCTCCACCAACTGGTACTGATTTTATCCACCCAAAAAGAGGGTTTGGTTGAGTCGACCCTGCAGACCCGCAATAAAAAATCTGCCGCAGCACGAGGCTGAACCACTGTGCACTTCCATCACGAGCCATTGCCGCTCCACTGCTGGATGAAGGCGCCTGCATGCCATCAACTGGCTTCGTGGCCCAGTGCTGCTCCCATCGATTTTAACCCCCTGACTGAAACAAAATAGTGAGATCTCATTGTTTCATCTCCACAGTGAGTGGCCGTTCTCTTGCATACCTGACTTTGGCATGTAAAATATCGCTATAAATTAGTGAATCGATAATATAAATCGTGCTGATTTATGGTATCATATCGTACAGTTGATCCTTATGGTGGTACCCCGGGGTACTAAATAATACAAAATGAGCGAGGCAATTAAAGATGTTATTTCTGGGACACTTTTTTTTTCCAGGGGTGTACTTCACTCCGCGACTGGGGGTAAACAATCAATCCGAAATCAGTGCCACACTCCGCGATGTCGAGACGGAGTGAGGTCGATTGCGCCGAAACCCTGAACGCTCGCGGTACGCACCGTGGTGGTGCATCGTGAGTACAGCTCATCGAGATGAGTCGATTGCCGCATCGGCGACCATCAACAGACTAAAAGTGACTGCATCACGGACATTGTGCGAGAGCCGGGCTAACTATGGAACCCCGGGGTAACTATGGAACCCCGGGGTAACTATGGAACCCCGGGGTAACTATGGAACCCCGGGGTAACTATGGAACCCCGGGGTAACTATGGAACCCCGGGGTAACTATGGAACCCCGGGGTAACTATGGAACCCCGGGGTAACTATGGAACCCCGGGGTAACTATGGAACCCCGGGGTAACTATGGAATCCCGGGGTAACTATGGAACCCCGGGGTAACTATGGAACCCCGGGGTAACTATGGAATCCCGGGGTAACTATGGAACCCCGGGGTAACTATGGAATCCCGGGGTAACTATGGAACCCGGGGTAACTATGGAACCCCGGGGTAACTATGGAACCCCGGGGTAACTATGGAACCCCGGGGTAACTATGGAACCCCGGGGTAACTATGGAACCCCGGGGTAACTATGGAACCCCGGGGTAACTATGGAACCCCGGGGTAACTATGGAACCCCGGGGTAACTATGGAACCCCGGGGTAACTATGGAACCCCGGGGTAACTATGGAACCCCGGGGTAACTATGGAACCCCGGGGTAACTATGGAACCCCGGGGTAACTATGGAACCCCGGGGTAACTATGGAACCCCGGGGTAACTATGGAACCCCGGGGTAACTATGGAACCCCGGGGTAACTATGGAACCCCGGGGTAACTATGGAACCCCGGGGTAACTATGGAACCCCGGGGTAACTATGGAACCCCGGGGTAACTATGGAACCCCGGGGTAACTATGGAACCCCGGGGTAACTATGGAACCCCGGGGTAACTATGGAACCCCGGGGTAACTATGGAACCCCGGGGTAACTATGGAACCCCGGGGTAACTATGGAACCCCGGGGTAACTATGGAACCCCGGGGTAACTATGGAACCCCGGGGTAACTATGGAACCCCGGGGTAACTATGGAACCCCGGGGTAACTATGGAACCCCGGGGTAACTATGGAACCCCGGGGTAACTATGGAACCCCGGGGTAACTATGGAACCCCGGGGTAACTATGGAACCCCGGGGTAACTATGGAACCCCGGGGTAACTATGGAACCCCGGGGTAACTATGGAACCCCGGGGTAACTATGGAACCCCGGGGTAACTATGGAACCCCGGGGTAACTATGGAACCCCGGGGTAACTATGGAACCCCGGGGTAACTATGGAACCCCGGGGTAACTATGGAACCCCGGGGTAACTATGGAACCCCGGGGTAACTATGGAACCCCGGGGTAACTATGGAACCCCGGGGTAACTATGGAACCCCGGGGTAACTATGGAACCCCGGGGTAACTATGGAACCCCGGGGTAACTATGGAACCCCGGGGTAACTATGGAACCCCGGGGTAACTATGGAACCCCGGGGTAACTATGGAACCCCGGGGTAACTATGGAACCCCGGGGTAACTATGGAACCCCGGGGTAACTATGGAACCCCGGGGTAACTATGGAACCCCGGGGTAACTATGGAACCCCGGGGTTCCACCATGAGGTTCAGTTGGTGCAATTGAATGGAACTATGCGCAACGCTGTATAGCGACTGAAATATCACGTTGCGCAATCTTAACTGAGTTGATGCAGCGATATACAGGCGGGTCTTGCTTTTCGTCAAATGATGCAATTGGGGAAAGGAAGAAAAAACTGTTTTAAGTTTAAGATAAATTATAGAAATACAAAAAAATCCACCGCGCCCAACGTGGGGCTCGAACCCACGACCCTGAGATTAAGAGTCTCATGCTCTACCGACTGAGCTAGCCGGGCAGCTGGGACGAGCGACTCAATTGGGGGTAATGCATCTCTCCTGCTCGTCTCTCTCCACGTGGGAGAAAGCTCAACACAGAGAGAGATCGTGTGCCGTCAAGACGAGCCCACTGCCCCAAACGTTGCCGACATTGTATTTCATCCTTTTAAGGGCCACACGGCGATATTGTGTTGAGGTACGTGCATTTATTGTTATTTGTGCTTGTGCACCACTTTTTTTAAAAAATAATGTTTTACACATCTCACCAGATACACGATCTTCTGAGAAGTGCACTTTTCCAGCGGCGTGGGCGTTGAATGCAAGAGAGAACACTTTCTGGCCCCCGGTGTTTAACATCCAGCGCCTCATCAGCAAGGTTCAGGCTTCATGCTCGAACCAATGGCTGGCACTGACGTGGAGCCCTCTCCTTGACACGAGACCCCCTCCCCCCCCGGTTGGACGGCACAGCAACCTCGATGCTTTCATCGTCCGCTCGTTTGCG